TGCTCCGTATCATCTCGTATCTCTCGCGATCACGGACGCGGTTACAATACCACTGGTCTGAGCTGTTTCGCTCGCTGCTGTCCCTTATCCGCTTCCTCACCTCCTATGCTTCCGACCTCAAGGGGTTGTCCCACTTCGAATCTCTCCTGGACCTAGTCGTAAACCTATTGGCCCTTTCCCTCTCAGCAGGAGAGGCTTTTCTCCCCACGCCTGCTGCCTATGATGACCTGTTCTACAAAGTTGTAGAGAGCGGCGAGGTCTTAGTAAAATTCCGCGACACATACCGCCTATCGAGCCGACCAACAAATTCGATAGGCACACTCATCAGCGTGAGTACGCATTACAAAACTATGTTGGACACGGATAGTTCCAAAAAGAACCTTACTAGTACTGAGGTGGCGGAGGTAATCAAGCAGGGCTACGAGACGTTGAGCATCCAGGCAAGAGAAGGTCTTGACGGCTGGGAAAGGTATCGCGAAGCTGACGAACGGACACTTCTTAAGAAGATGGCACGGGCAACGGTGTCAGATGTTCAGGTCGTCGTACAAGCCTAAAATTCCAAGGCGACACGATCGGACTACGATTTGGATTAGAATGTATTGGTATGAAACTAGGAGCGAAATATCTTGAATGCTATTAGTACGGCAGTGTCCAGTTAGCGAAGATTACTAATTACCGAGCTCATGGCTCACAAAAATGCAGTTTAGCAAATCACCACGTGAACTCGGTGAATTCGGCCCAGTAACGTCAAGAATTCCAGTTAAGGACTTAGGCGCTCCATGATTACAACATCACGTCAAGAGTATTGACAAACTCGGAGGACTTTGCAACGTCGACAGATGCTGAAACCGGGGGCGTGATAGACTAGGGTAGCATCGCCGAGGTTTCATCACAGCCTGCATATAGTGACGACGGACTGCTAATAGTGCGAAAACTAAGGTCATATCTGGAATGAGACGTAAAAATGAGCTAAAATCACCACCAGTCCTGATATAAAGGTAGCTAATGCCCAGTTTCTACTATTTTCCCCTGCTTTGAGGCGATCTATCCCAATCTCTTCTTTTGTTTGAGTTGCTCTTATCGTAGAGCTTCGGAACTACATCTCTGTGAAGATTTCTGCCAACACCCCTATATTATCACATGGCGAGCACATGATGCATGTTTAACGACATGGACGCCTACCAGATAAGCAACCGGATCAATCCATCCTGGTGGGCTGTTTGCGAGGCGGTATTCAGGGTGCTCCTCCTGGCGCATTGTTCTTATTCGTGGATCCAAGCTTAGGGTTTCGTGGATCGCCATCCATGATTGCTGCGTTTATGAGTTGAAGGGGAATAACTTTCTGCCATCTGTAGTCTCTATGACATCCGGTAGGATTTATACGTGATGCATACGTTCCGCCCGTAGCGACTATCGACAAGGACTAGTACGCCCAAGGCATTGGACACATCCAATACTATATTACAGCCATTTCGGTATGGTTCGCGTCCCTTGGTGTCTGAGCCCCCAATTGCTATATGCGAGTGCTACGCTACGTCAATAGGCAGAGATAGAGACAGCCGCACGCGGCATGTAACCAAAGTTATTCATCTTCGCATCTTGGTCAACCACTCTCCTATCTTTTATACCCACCTGCAAGTGGCCTATCAGATGCGAAGGAAAATAGCGTTGTCTCGTAACTTAGAGAAGTTTCCATGTAACCTCTACCGTTCGGCTCTAGCCAAGCGATGGGATGGCGTCTCAGTGGTTATGGTAATGATGCGTGATATCATCTATAAATGGCATCTAACTATTCTTCGGCTGTATAAAGGCAGGAAATAGTCTATTACAGTATGCATAAATCTCCCAGGTCCACGAAGGACTCTTTGGAGCAATCCAAGTTATAAAATCAGACACTCTTCCCAAGGTATGTACGGTGATTTGCCATTGATAACCGAGCCTTGTCCTAAAATCTTTTTTTCAGTTAGACATCATCATGTGCGATTGGGAACGGACACTCTGCCCCAACTGCAACCGCGTCATTCAGGACAAATGCATCGCCCCCTGCATCGATGCTTACCACGCAGTATATACCGACGGAGCAAACGTGCAGATTGTTTATAGAAAATGCGGGCCTTGTAGCAGACCTACGCCTCCACCATAATATCGTCAGAGCAAAATTAGGTGCGTTAAGGGGTTGGATGGGCTCTTTGAAGTGCGAAGGTAGATGAAACGCTTTTCTGGTTCTATTATGAATCCCGGGCTTTATTATGGTCTTCATGGTGGATATGTGAGCAGTGGTTATTGATGGATTAGCATAACAGGCGCTGTCTCTTATATGGCTGGTCCCGGACAATGTGGCTTTCTAGAAGTCAACTTGCCTATATCGTCAACATCTCCTTTATAATAATTTACCACCTCGTTAGCTTGGCGTCGTAGCACCCATACTTTTTTTTTTTTTCTTTCTTTCTTTCTTCCTGAGAAATACTATGGTATCTGACAAATTATACTGATCTAGACATAGCAAAAATTATATATGTACCGTGATATAGTGAGAGAGCTAATCTAATTTACGATAGCTCGGCATCCCAGATAGAGCGAGTAGGCTCACTCAAGCCTTAGGAACTTAGGGAGGGTTACGATCTTGAGGCATCAGGCTAGGGTTGTCCTGATTTGTAATATGTGACTTCTACTCCTTTCTAGGATCTGATTTGAGGACATGATGGCTGAAATGCTATTTTTGTCCCTTTATTCCCGGGCATAGTGGACACAATTACTACATGATATGTCAAACCTCGTAACAACCAGTAAATTCACTGCTAGTTAGCGTTGCGGGGGCGAAATGATACCCTTGAACTTGCGTAACGTGCCGTATTCACAACCTGAACTATTGTCGATCCCCGAACCTAGTTGGGTAGACCTGCGTTTAAGTCTAACAGGGAAAGGTAATTCACGGATTAGTACAAGTGGACGAAGCGTGGTGGCCATGAGTACCGAAGCGGTCTTTATTCGTGTCTTGTTAACTCCTAAGGCTGACAGCTGATACCCCCAAGCGTCAGTCAATACGCTCAACGTTCCCAATCAACAATCACTTCACTTTAAATGTACAAAAAGAGAGAGGCTTCATGCAGAACAAATTCAGATCCGTTTGCTGCCTGGTATCATAATATCTAGTAACTACCAAACCGTTTTGGTTATTCGACTAATTCCCAAGTCGTTTCTAGGTATCGTCAACACGGAAACCAATCATAACCCATATCGACCCGGGCCTCAGGTATAAAACTGTCTTGGCCAGATGTTCATTGCAGTCTTCAAACCCTCTGCCACCGGTAGTCCCGCGTGGATGGTCCGCTGATCTCCTGTGCCATTCTGAAATAGGTTGACCCAGAATAGCGCGTTCCCGGCTACAGGTCTGAATGCTAGACCGCCGTCCTCATGATTCCTCCAAATCTGCCGTCCCTCCTCATCTGTCTTTGATAAAGCTGTCGTATTCACAAAAGGGAACCACGTCTCACCGCCTTTACACTGGTCCTCCAAGATAGCGAAGAAGCTGGCAATGCGGTTCCAGCTTCTTCCTCGCCCTAACATACCACGTCGTGTTGGCTGCGGCCGATCGTACCAGTCGTGGTGTTTGTTGAACCGCTGACCCGCAGTGTAGCGTACGAGTTGTGGCGGGCCTATGTCGTCTCGAGATGGATCTAGCATTGTACCGAGGAAGGCTTCGGCGCGAGCCAATACGCATTCTACTGCGGGGTTGTCTCGAGGCAGCCCGGCGGATGATGAGGTACGGTCCTGCGTGTCTTGGTTATGGCCACTCTTATAGACTCGAGACGGGGCGAAGGCAGGTTCCCCAGCTTCGAGCAGTGCCCTTATCTCAGTCAATGGAAGAAAAGATTCAATGTATATGACAAGGGGATCTATAGAAACGATTCCAGTGGTATAAGGGTGATGATGACAGCTAAAGGACGATGCTACGGTTTCAGTATTTTGACTAGACATCTTAAAAGTTAAAGAAGAGAGTGTGACGAGATATGGAGACAGTTTAGTGATAGATGGCGACGCAGTTCGATAAATCACTGGAACTAACAACGCAGCAACAGCGATAATTAACGCGGCGATGCCCGAAAGTCGAGATCCTAGAGCCATGGTACCTAGTTTACAATCGAAAATTAGTTATATTTTTGATTCGTCGATGTCACGAGAAAGCAACCTGCGTCGACACAGCTGTCTATCATACTTTGGTTCGGCCGCTGAGAATTGTAATCGAGCGCAAACCAGCAATAAGATATCTGATAACCCCCCAAGTCACTCCAAGTAGGAACGTTTACTACAACATATGATCCCCTCGACATACTCGGAGCGACTTGTTCCGACCTAATCCTCTACACAATTGTTGAAGCTAAGTATTGCCGGTGGCATGAGTGGTGACACCGCATGTAGGCTGAAGAGCCTGGATTCTTCGAAATGGAGGGATGCGATCCATTGGAGGACTAGGTAGGAAATTGGTTACCCAATGTGACATACCAACCCATGTCCATGCCCGAATGAAACATTCACGAACGATGACCTTCCTTCGTGAATTAATCATTGGCAACAATTATCAAGGATGTACTGACCATGAGAGCCAATTTCATACGACAAACGGTATATATACCTAGATATATATGATTAATAATACAACACCCTACACCTATAATCCATGATCTAGTTAATTAAGATGATTCCAAGAACTTTTATAACTCTTTCATTTCTTCTTGAGATTATAGCGGAAGAAGTTCCTTATGAAAGAATCAAGTATCTAGAGCTCGTAGGTTAAAATCTACATGTCACATAAGCCACATAGCAAAACTATAAAACATTCAACAGCCGCTACCTAGTTGAGTTCGACGACTTATCATTCTTTCTGAGTAGCATTTATGCCTATATGGTATGGGAATAATTATTTGAGGAATAGTGAGCAAGACTTCACCAAGGATACAATTCAAGGGGAAAAAAAGGACAACTAGACAAAAGATTAATCTCTCTCGATCGGGGAATTGAACCCCGGCCACCTGCGATTTATCATACAAATTAACGAAGTGACAAGCAGGTATCCTAACCACTAGACGAATCGAGAATTTCAAGCTATCGCATAGGTTGATGACGCTAGCTAGTTTTAAGTGGAGATGAGAGAATGCTTCTTTGTTTTTACCTATAAAGTTTTAACCTATGAAGCCGTGTGGGCCATGGCACATTGCTCTAACTTCAATACCTAACGAAGTGCATCATGAGAATTCCAAAGACGGGTATAGTAGGTATTCGTGGGCTTGTTACAAGTCCGGATGGACTTTTTATAGCCCAACTAGATTATGTGCTGCACATAACTTTTTCAAGTCAAGTTGGAGCACCACGGTGGATAATTGTTCATTAAATCCAACTCTTTACACGAGTATGTTTAATACGTTGAGGCTTATTTTGAGGTGTTGGATGGAAGTATGGGTTGATTTGGGAATAAGAGTGATGTAAACTCAAAATGTACCCCTATCCCTTAGGTAGTTCAGCTGTTGCTCGACTTATGCACCTATATATTAGTATTGGAGAAAAGGGGCACAACTTTTGAATTATAAGGGCGATCATAGTTTACATTTCTCTACGCCAACTGCGCCCAAAACAAACAAAGACTCATCCTACCAGATACGACTCCACAACAAATTGAATACCTACTATAACGACGTATTCTAGGCATGCTATTAAGATCTCGGCACATATGAGATGTCAATTTTTTCATAACGAAATCATTGCACCGTTGACCGTAGTAAAGCAGTTAAGATGTCGGTTCATGACGTGGATCCTCAGTTACTTTTGCTACATCGGCAATATATGCAACTGTTTGAACCAGACTTCCTCGGCTGGCCGCCAGCCAATTTCCTTAAAGATGCAGATATCCAGAAATGGCTATATAAGCATCTTTTCGATCCTAGTAAAACCCTGAAATTGCCGCCTGAGGGATATCAACTTCAAGTTTTGAAGAAACTTGTGACAAAGCTTGAGAAGGAAACAAAAAATACAGAACAAGTTGTAGGTCAGCTATTCCAGTTATGTTATCTGCATAGAGATTAACGGTCATGGGCTTAACTTCATCAGGGCGTTTTGGGTGAACTTACGGCACGCCTTGAGTCCTTCACAGCCAAGGGGGTTTCGTCAGAATTTCGCACAGCTCAAGAGGAGACATACGTAACATTTACCTGTTTAACAGACAAGTATAACCCAGATAATAGCAGTAACTGCGACTTGGAACCCACCATAACACTACTTGAACGGCGACAGTTGGTATCAGGCTCACAAATAACTGGTTTTCGAACCTGGGAAGGATCTCTTCATCTGGGCTCATACTTGCTAACTGACGCTGGGTCGCAAATTCTCCGTGGAAAGAATATTCTAGAACTGGGCGCTGGTGCTGGGTTTCTGAGCATCCTCCTGGCCAAATACCTACATGTAAAGCATGTAACTACCACAGATGGCGATGAAGGAGTTGTTGAATCAATAAGGCAGAATCTCTCGCTGAACGGCCTTGATACCGAAGAAAAAGTCAAACCAGGGACTTTGACATGGGGGTGTGACCCTTGGGAGACATGGATTAAAGACGATTGCGTTGCTAATCCGTATGACGTAGTCATCGGCGCAGATATCGTAAGAATTAGTTCACTCATCCTCAAAAGTATGTACAGAACGCTAATATATCGTACAGACATATGACATGATAGCAATATCTGCTCTAGTGTCGACACTGCATAAACTCATCCAGCGAAAACCAAAGCTTAAAGTCATCATAGCTGGCGTAATTCGAAACGCTGACACATTTCAGAAATTTAAAGACGAGTGTGGTATGTATTGTGATATCTCGTTGTAAGTATGAGTTTACGAATGCTAATAAATGTCCACTTCGGCATTCACAGCTCATCGTCATTTTACCGTGGAAGAAGTGCAGTTCGAACCGAAGCCGATGCGCCAACAGAAAGCACTCTTCTACGCAGCCGCTGTGCCTATAAAAATATTGTTTATCAATGGTCCTAGCTAAACTGCTTAGACACTCTACACATACCTACCTAACCTAAGACACTTTGATTCATAGGAGTCGATTTAACCTAGACTAGAACTGGTATTTAGAGCTGTGGTTATCCATTGCAGCTAGGCTATATGCATATGACCATACGTGAAGAAGACAAAATAGGGGGTAGAAAGGGGGAGGGGATTCAATAGAGGTGACTTCATAGAATGGAACCAAGTTCTTAAAGTTATGCATTTAAAATCTAAGCAACCGGGTAATATCACTCTAACTAAAGTGCTTTGGCATAAAAACAGCATTAATAACAAAACCTCCAATATGCTTAGGTGAATGTACCTAGGAATAGACTACTCATCTAACGAATATCTCCGCGGATGCATCCTCTCTGCTAGCTCTATCAAGTTTTCCCACTTATACTTTAATTACAGGCCGCATTATGCTTTAAGAAAGTCAACTGTTCCGAGAAGTTCTAACCGCTTTTCTTGATCTGGAGTCTAAGAATTTCCAAGATAGTTGTGCGAATACCTTTCTCCTTCCGGGTTACGCTGTCGGAAACGGTGAGCTGGGTCTTGATATTGAGCTTCTCCCGTACCGCGCAGAGCTCCCACAGCAACTCCATGCTGGTCTCGCTTATAGGGGCGGTTTCCTGCTACTGAGCACTTCCTTCTCTCACCCTCGGAATGCTTGGCCACTGCGGAACTCAATATCGTTGCCGCCAACGACGAGTTGGATGGGAAGCTTTCTGATAACGTCACTCAGATTATATCTTGCATCTATTCTCCTGCAATCTTTCTATCGACATGAGAGGTTAATGAATACTGCACTGAGCAAGATAGACAAACAATTCAAACCAGACAGTCTTGGACTTCTAATACCCAGCAACTAGCGCACTACATATTAGAGTGACTTGTTATAATACAAAGCTCACTTTGAACTTGTCTCTTCGACTATTATCGACATTAACTCCAAGAACACCCATTTTTCTACTAGCACCTTTCCAGGCCTTGGTGGTTTGTCTAGGTACCTGCAATGCTCCAGAAAGAAACGCTTTTGAAGGATTTAATCCATACTGTATGCATTTTGATGCTTCCAAAATGCCCTTCGCTTCATCTTCTAAAGGTGTTGTCCGTATCACCTAATAAAAAAAAAACCTCAAGGTTATATCGAGAAGGTACCGACGCCACAAGTCCACCGTAGCATAATATCTACCAATACTTACCTAGGTGCTAAGTAGCTTCTCGAGGATCAGAACCCAAAACTATCCAGAAGTGAATTTGCGTCTGGCTCCTCGAACACGCTGGGCGGTGGCTTGACGTTGTGACTCCCTGTCTTCATGTCGGTCGGGGCGACAGGTGACATAGGCATGTCCTGGACGACTAGGGAGCTGCGGCGTTTTAGAAGCACTCTAGGATCGATCTCGCCACCAAGGTCCGGGACCGTCGACGTGGCATGCCGGAGGAATTCCCAATTGCGAACTACACAAAAGCAGTAATTAGTTGGCTGGTTACTTATACGTAAAGGGGATGCGAATAGAATAGGAGGACTTACCCAGATCAAGACCGAGGAGGTCGCAACCCATTCGGTCGTAGAGCCTGGCGTTATGTATTACAAATTCCCATTCAGTCCTTGGCATTACCTTAGATGCCCCGCGAAGCGTTTGTAACGTTTTCTGTCGAAGCTGCGAGTATAATACAACAAGGGCCGGGTCATCTGTTAGGAAGAGCTTCGCCTCTAAGTTATCTGATGAAGCTGGCGTTTCTAATAATGTGTAGACAGGTGTCTTCGAATGGTTAGGCTGTTGATCGAAAAATGTATCTTGACGTAAACTCACAATGAGAGCGCGAACCGCCATGTCTTTCCGCTTTAACATCCAGAACGCCCATGACGCGAGCCAACGATTACCCTCTTGAGCCGCCAGAGCGAGGACCTCGTTCTCCAGCAACTTCCTCAACACGGGCCCATTATCACCTTCATACACCCTCGCAATCGCGATCGCGAGCTGAATGTCTTTGACTTGATTGATGCAAACATTCACCGCATCCTGTAAATGGCCCGCGAGGAGGAAGAAGGCAGCTGCATATTCTGCATATACTATTAGTACTTGCTTGATTTGAATTTTACATTGCACGATATGGAGGCACTTACCGAAACGGCGCTTGCTTAGAAGAGCATATGCGTTCTTCAGAGCTGTCGTCTTCCATTTGGGGTCATCGAAGTTATTCGCTAAAAGTCGTTGCGTGGCTCCTTGTTCTCGATTCCAGCTTGCCATGCGCCACAGGCCCTGAAGAACGGTCTTCTTCTTCAAGGCGAGATAGAAGAGACTGCAATCCACAGGGTTCTTCATGTCGCTTTTCGTATACTCGTTGCGGGCCACAATTTCAAATTGAGTTTTCTATATGTCGGATAGGTTAGACAAAAGTAAAGAAAAAATCTTCGCCTACTTGGACTTACCACGGCGGCTTCGTCCGTAAGCCACATGAACATGCCGCTTTCCCTAGCATTCTCCCACAGCATGGTGCCGTGATACTGGCGGGACACAAAATCAGTCAGTATATCCTGACTGGTAGAATGGTAAGCCCAGTTGATTTCTCTCCACGACATGTGAATTTCGTTGGTTCTGCCCTTCCTTAATGCGTGCTGCCGGAAGAATAACATAAAGCGAGCCCCATTCTCGTCCATCGAGCGACGCTGCTTTTCAACAACTCCGACGCATTCAACGATATCAACCAGTTGAATCTGCTCGTGGCCCGAGAGTTGCGGTATAGTAACTTGTTGCAGTTTCTCGCAGACAGCTACGGCGATTTCTTCCGTGAAAACTTCGTCAGTGTCGTCGAACGACATCTGGGACATGAGATAGGACGAGCCGTTGCTACCAATGGACGTAGACCCCTAAGATATTAGAAAAGTACTACTGAGGTTTAACCGTATTATTACTCACTTTGCGTATGTAAAAATCTGCAAGATCCAGGCTCAGATAGTCATCGATTAAATCGCCCTCTACATGATATTTTAACGTATGATTTAAAGCTAGAAGTACGCGCCGAACCACGCTATGCTTCCCCGCCAGGATG